AAGGATTTTTTTCAAACCTTTTGAATTTTCCTTTTGTATATTCTTTAAATCGAAATCATGAAACAAGTCTTCTGTTTAAGCCATTATGGAACTGTCTATTCACTTTATGCTGGCCTTCACTGAATTGACGTCTTTCGACATTACATAACTTAATGTGCAAATAAGTTCTTGCAAAACCCTACAGGCAGAGCATAGAGCATACAATTAACATATTTTACACACCTACAATTGTACTTGTATTCAAACGTATATATATATATATATATATAGATAAATGTATATAAAACGTATAACTGTTTAAGTTGTATCTGTAAGTTTATCTTGCCTACACTAACATTTGTTGCTGACATTAAAACTGATTTTGATATATATGTAAATAACATTGTGGGTTGAATGTCACAACAAAAGTTAACGAACCGGGCATAGCACCGCAGAGAATGCATGCCACCGACGGCTCCAACATAATAAATAATAAATAAATAAGTAAGCAAAGAAAATATGCAAAAGGATCACAGCAAAATGGAAGCTGGCAAATGAGCAAGCAATGTGAGGCCGCTGAGAAATAGAAAGTTGACAAATAAGAGGGTATGAGAGACGAATGGTGGCTAACTAAAAAAAAAAACCAAAGAATATATAAACAAGCGAGCAAGCGAACTGACAAATAACTGCGCATAATTGCACTCACACACATACATGTGTACGTGTGATGTAATTTGTATGAAGTTGACTGACAGCGGGCTAAAGACCTTCGACCATTAGGCAGTAGGCGTCAGCTTGGTGGCTGTTAGGCGCACTCAAGCATAACAAACAGTTTATTGTATTGTGNTACGTATCTACTGAGAAAATATGGAAATGAAAATTTTCAGAATTTAGTAAATGAATACAATTTGGTCTTCTTTAAAAAGGATTTTTTTCAAACCTTTTGAATTTTCCTTTTGTATATTCTTTAAATCGAAATCATGAAACAAGTCTTCTGTTTAAGCCATTATGGAACTGTCTATTCACTTTATGCTGGCCTTCACTGAATTGACGTCTTTCGACATTACATAACTTAATGTGCAAATAAGTTCTTGCAAAACCCTACAGGCAGAGCATAGAGCATACAATTAACATATTTTACACACCTACAATTGTACTTGTATTCAAACGTATATATATATATATATATATAGATAAATGTATATAAAACGTATAACTGTTTAAGTTGTATCTGTAAGTTTATCTTGCCTACACTAACATTTGTTGCTGACATTAAAACTGATTTTGATATATATGTAAATAACATTGTGGGTTGAATGTCACAACAAAAGTTAACGAACCGGGCATAGCACCGCAGAGAATGCATGCCACCGACGGCTCCAACATAATAAATAATAAATAAATAAGTAAGCAAAGAAAATATGCAAAAGGATCACAGCAAAATGGAAGCTGGCAAATGAGCAAGCAATGTGAGGCCGCTGAGAAATAGAAAGTTGACAAATAAGAGGGTATGAGAGACGAATGGTGGCTAACTAAAAAAAAAAACCAAAGAATATATAAACAAGCGAGCAAGCGAACTGACAAATAACTGCGCATAATTGCACTCACACACATACATGTGTACGTGTGATGTAATTTGTATGAAGTTGACTGACAGCGGGCTAAAGACCTTCGACCATTAGGCAGTAGGCGTCAGCTTGGTGGCTGTTAGGCGCACTCAAGCATAACAAACAGTTTATTGTATTGTGCGCGAGTCTCATAATCTAACAAAACAATGCTTTCACATACTTTTAGTGGTAATTGTATATATATGTATGKGAATGTATATTTTTGTATGTGTACTCGTACCTGTGTGCTTAAAATAGTGCGTTTCTCATTTTTCTTATAACAATGCCACAAAGCATATATAGATATGCAAAAATTGTCGTAATATTTGCAAAAAAAATTATTTTTTAGGATAAAAAATCTCCACTGCCGCACCGGTGACGAACGATATGCGCCTTGTTTGCATATAATTACCGCAAAAGGCAAATACGCACACACACACACGCATACGCATATGCAGCAGCATAACGATTCAATATTTTTGTGCGCGCGAATCAAGCTTTCAATGCCGACCAGCATATCAAAATTTTTGCGTGCTATCGCAGAAACAAAGCGAAAGCACAGTTGGTGCCACGGGGCGTATGTGTAACGAATAGACGCTGTGTATACTCAATGTGTGCAGGCAATGCGGGGTTGGCAAGTTGGACAATTGACTGTGTGAATGACGAAATCCCACAASTTATGCTGAATGTTTTTTGACAGTCACGCACACATGCAAAAATACATACATACATACATTTAAACCCACAAACATGTATATATGCATGTATATCTCGTACATATTCAGTGAAATACAAACAAAAAGCGGTATTTGTTGTATTGTTGTTGTAGCGGCAAACATTTTATATATTTCAACTCTCGTCGCCTACTAYCGCCGCTACCTTTGCGCTATTCAAATTTACAACAGTACGCATGCAGACAACTGATAAGCGCACCGCCATTGCTTCACAGTGTAACCTGTATGTGTGTGCGTGTGCGTCTGTATTGGTACGTTTTCGTTGTTTGTCTATCTGAACTCGTTTTAAATGCCCGCTTTGCGGTTCAATTAGCGCACAAACGTTGGAATATTTTCGCGCAATCACGTGTGGCATATCGAAGTCGCAGCACATACTGCCGCCCTCAACCACCCGCAGCAACCGCTTGAGTTTCTAGTTTTTGTGGCTTTGTTTTGGTGCGCCATTGCCATATGGTCACCAGTTTTAAAGTAATTAACCATTTGCGCGCGCATACAGTCGCGGCTGAAAGTAGACAGATCAATTATTTTCATCTTCAACACAGCAAACAGCCACTTTACTTAACTAAAGTAAAGTTAAAGTAAATACTAGATATTAAGCCGCACATTTTTATTTTTACTTTCCCTCATAATTTTCTATGCTTTTGCCTTGCCTCAAGCATTTTTATCTATGTATATTTATTTACTTGATGTTTGATTGATAGCTTAACTTTGTTGCGCAGGCGCGAGTATTTGTCGGCACGCGTGTGTCGTTTTATCGTTTGCTGTCGCTGCTGGCATAATTATGATCTGTGATGACTCATAATAATGTTTACAAATACGAATGCATGCAGTGGTGAGTGGCTGTCGAACACACTGTTATTATTTTTATATGTTGAAGCCGTTAGTCTGTAAATCACTCAAATGAATGTCAGGAAAACTAATTATTGACAGTTACTGATGTTATAATTTGAGTATATATTCATGACAGTACATGAATTAATCAATTAAAGAGCCAATGATGGTGCGAGAAATGCTTAAGCTACTGAAAGCTGATTATATTTGGTACACATTTGTTGGGAAGTTGATTTTTTTCTTAAATTTAATGCAAGTCATTTTTGTTTGTTTTGAATTCATTATTTTGTTTTTGTATATAAAATTAGTAGAAGTTAAATACAGCGTYTATCAATAGGGATGACATAAATTCACGTTCATCCATCAGCTTCTCAGCTGAGGACAGTTTCTGGCTTAACGACTTCGTTAACAAACCAAATTGTCGCTTTTGGGGTGAGTCAATTGCTCGTGTGTGGTTCAGGAAAAGCTTTTGTGTCATATTGTGGTATGGYGGCATTATTATCGGGCCTTATAGCTTTCGAAATGAGGAAGAAAATGCCGTTGCCATAAATAGCGATCGATGTTGAAAAAATTGATGCGAAAGATATGTTTTACGGCTAAACGTGGACATATTTGCAACAAAGTTTGGCGACTCGTTAATTTTGAGAAATGGCGCAGTCAAATGAGTGCCAATATCATGTGATCTAACGCCTCTTTATTATTTTATCTGGGGATATGTTAAATTATGCCAATTAGTCAGCAAATGCTTGGAGAGGTTGGAGCCGAAATTTAAGCCGGGTTATCGAAAATTGGTATAAACGAAAAATGGAGTCATTGGTCGACATTTTTTTGAAAACATAAAAAAAACTAAAAAAATCCTCCTTTTTTTTTCAACCTGCATTTTATTATCATATAAAATCCTTAAAAATGATATTTGAACAAGTCAATTGAAAAGTAAGACACAGTTTTTTGCCAAACTTCGCTTTTATGACTCAACACCCTTCCCTTACCCTTCCAGGGTAATGCACTGATTATAGCGACCGTCCAACTTTTCTCTACCATTTTTGTCRTTCGACTTATGCCTAACTTCAAAAGAAGCTTCAGATTTTGTCATCACCTCCTCATTCGACGAAAATTTTTTCTCAGCGAGCATTCTTTTCAGTTCTGAAACCAGGAAATAGCCGCTGGTGGAATATACTGGACGCAATTCGTAACCCATTTCACATGCAGCCCTTTTTCGGCGATTTTGTCCTTCGAGTGATCAATAACGCTATGTAATAGTCGCTACTGATCATCCTCCCCTTTTCAAGGTAGTCGATAAAAATTATTCCATACGCATCCCAACATACAGATCGTCAAACGCAATAGTTTAATAACAAATTTCACAATAAAAAAAGTTGCTCCACTCAAAATGATTTAATTCACCAAATAATGTTTTCGCAGCACTTTATATACGCGCCTTTTTAAACCAAAAATCATACGGAATCAATTATATTAGCGCCATTTATGTGTGGGGCCGGCGATTTTTCAACTGACTTGTTTTTGGCCCGATAGAAAAGWGTTTCAASAAAATTCCAGCAATATAAGGCCAACTATACTTCTCATTATATATTCACTGCAGCATCGCAAAAAACTGTGATGTCACACCAATAAATTTTCATTTGCGTTTATAAAGCAAAAAATCCAATGCTTCTTAGTTTTAATAGAAATAAACCATAAAATGTTGTTGTTTTTCAATAAAACAAATGTTGAAAAATTCATACTTTCAGCACTGCGCCAAAATGTAGGCAACAGTTTTAATAAAATTCTAAAATATCAGTTTTGTGTGACATATACATAGTATATATTTATAAAAATTGTATTTCCTTACCTCTTTTGCTTATTTCCTTTCGATGGTGAAGAATTATTATGAGATGAAATTGAAGCTCAAACTTTACACTTTAGGCACACTTACAACAAACACTTCGAGCTTTAGACATTTACAGTTGATGTTATGATTTCTGCCATTATGGAAGAATAAAATAAGAAATCTGAAAAKAAAATATAAATTGATTACTTGTATTTGCAATTATTGAAATATATTCACAATTCAATATAATTAGCAATAATTGAAATATATTTTTGTTATTCGTTGCGAAATTAGATAGGTTTGCAATACCATTGAAGCTAAACATTTTAGCATATTTAATATTTTTTTTTTTAAACTGAGTAGTGGATTTGGGTGCTATTAGCTTAAATTATTTTATATTTTTAAAATTATTAAAAAAAAAAWTAATTTTAATTCTTTTTTTATTCTTTTAASTTTGTTTTAATACTCATATGTCATCAGTTGGAACCAAAATTTTATTTTTATTTTTCCAAAAACTCAAACATTCCAAATATTTTACAAAMAATTCGCTTGCTTTTAATGTAAATAATTCTTATACCAAGCAAATCATATATCATATAACATTTTTATACAACAATTGCTTATACTTTCCTTATTTATTTTAACTGCATATAAACGTACAACAACAACATATTGTTCACAGCAACCGCTAAGCGGAAGTACTGTTACTTAATGCACGCAGTGACAGAGGCAAATACATATAACGATGCTTCAACGAGCTGTTGCGTGTGGCATGACTGAATATTTTGTTAATGAAAATCATTCAACGCAGATAAATCTGTTTGTTTGCTCATGATAAGATAAGCGTTGATTGTAGTTATTGTTCTTATTCATATTCCGGCAATGTAAACAAAACGCATCAAAGTGATAATGGGTAAAAATATATGAATTTATATACWTATATATTTATTAACAACGGAGACCCTTTAATTATATTATTTAAAATAAGCGATCAGCAATACAAACTGAGCCGATGTAATCAAGTTCGTTTTTCTCTTTGTATATCAGTATATCCCTGAACTAATCTCTCAGTTTTTGAGATATCGCAGGTTTTTTCCTCCCCAAGACGCTGCTCATTTGTCGAAACCACTGATATCGGACCATTATAACATGTACCTTACCAGGGCCGGATTAAGGCCCTTACGTACTCAACTGATCGATCTGAATAAAATGATTGCAAGTTTCTCATTTGACGAAATATCTTCAATAAATTGTGCATTAGCTAATGTCAAAGGCGACAGTAAGTTGATCGAAAAAATCAGTACAAATGAAATCTATCGAATTATGAATTTTTTTTGTATTATAGTTTTGTACTACCGAATTTAACGAAGTAAACAATCCCTTGACTCATTGACTTGGCTATGAGCTGTTGTGTTTGCTGAAGGTAAGGATTATTGTTCTCTTTAAGGGTKGTTATCATCGGTAAAATTAAATACCATTGTTCTCTTTAAGAATTGTTGTCCTCGCTAAATGTAAACAAAACGGKCATTGACCTCATMAAGGGTCATTGATCTAGCGAATAGTTGTTGYCCTCATTAAAGGTAAACAAACAGGTTTTTGATTTAGGGAATTAATGGCTGTTGTCAATACTAAACGTAAACAAAGAGGTCATTGCCTTGAAGAAAGGTTGTTGACCTCACTAAAGTTAAACGAAAGGGTAATTGTCTTTACAAAAAGGCATTGACCAGAGACAGTTACAGTGGATTCAAAGATCTTAGACCTAGGAAATGGGTATTTCTTTCGCTATAGGTAAACCAAAGTTTCACTGAGCTCGGGAAGAATTGTAGTATTCCTCTCGTTTAGAGAGCTTGCTTCAGTAACTATTTAAATGCCATGCTTACTGCTCCTATAAAAAAAAAAAACTACATTCCTCTTTTTCACATTATGCTATCTCCCTTCCGAAAATGGCCTAATTCGTATCGTTTTCAAGCCCACAGATACTGAATATGTGGCCGTCAGATACATCTTCACCGAAAGTTTTAGTAATATCTCACTTAACCATTTTTGTCTGGGAAAATACTAGAGTTAGCAATAGAATTTAGTCAGAATTTTTATATTTGGTTAAGTTTTGGCAAAAACTTGTATGCTTATTGATTCCTTTCTACTTATTTTTAATTCTTCCCCATTGCAAAAATAAATTGTTTTCATATACTTTTTCTTATTTTATTTATTTATATATATTTTTTTTTAAACAAACCCTTGACCAACACTATTTTTGTTTCTCTTTGCAGCCATGCGACAGCATAGAGATAAGAACACGACCAACCAAACAGAGTAAAAAGTGATAAGGAAGCATACTAAGACATATGTGAAGGCCGTTTGTTGATAAAGAATTCTTAGTTTTGTCTTTAAAATTTATGATGCGGGGTAAGTGTTGACAAATAAGCGATATAATAAATTTTATATGAAATAAAAATACATGCAAATACCCATAAATGAAAACAATTAAATTGGGCTGAAGTATAGAAATTTGTGATATTTTTGCGYACTAGTTTTATTTATGACCTAGTGTGGAGAAAATGTTTCAAAAATGTTACTAATTATTAATCAGATATTCCGTCACTATTTCGGAAATTGGGTTAATTGCGAAGTATACCTGCCTATTTAAGCCTGCAAAAGGCGGAAAATAACCCGATATTTTTTTTTTACATATTATACTCAACATTTGAACTTTGTTTAATTTATTCTTTGCATTTTCTAAAGTTTTTAACTACAGCAAATATAAAATTATATTCAGAAATAAGAAGTGTTTTCATCGGTTTGTGATTGCTGGATCCATTGCAACAACCGTAGTGCAAAAACTATATGTGAAACTTGATAAACCAGCCAAATATCAGCGCTGCTAAGGTAATGCTCTGTATTTGATGGGATTAGAGCGTCCTATTTATTATGAGCTTCATTAATATGAAGAGCTAGTGAGAACAACTTCTAAAAGTAAAGCCAACGATTGGCGAAAAAATTATAAAAATTTGCGCTTACACAAAAGACAATGCTCGACCTCACCCAGCAGCAGGGAAATTTTGCCTCGCCTGATTATGGTTCAAATCTTCCAATTTCACTACCATTGGTTGCGTTCGTTCCAAAAAGACTTTATTCAGGACAGGCAGGACGAGTTTATTCATTATTAATAACCTTTTTAACTTGAATGAAATGAAAACTACTATATTTTCTATGAAATTTTCGATATGAAGCAGTCAAGCTTTCATTAATTTTTAAAAATTTTGAAGACACGTTATTCTAACATGTAACGCTTCATTTTTATTAAGGGCTTASGTGGGTGTACGGGCTCAAAATATCGATTTTTGAATTATACAACACCTCTAAAATATTGTCTAAAAGCCTTGAGGACTTGTGCGATCGAGGATAGCTAGGCTAAGTGTTCTAAAATGTTATCTCGAAAAGAAAAAAACGATATAACTTGAACGACGAAAACGAGTTTTCTATTAAGTGTGCGAGTACGCTCTAAACACGTTGCCTACATTTGTGCGCCAAGRTTTTAACATGTTGCTACCAAAAACTGTAACGATTTCGATAACAACCATTCAGTTTTCAAGTTAAGCTTTTACAGTATTTTTAGTCAGATATATACAAATCTTTTGTTATGATTCTTTAAGGAAATTTTTACTGAAGCATGTAAAAATATTCGAAGTTTTGTTATACAAGTATATGATATTATGGCTAAATTCAGCATTCTCAAATAATATTAGCATACTTTCTGGTATAGAATGTCATAGGAATATCAAAGAGGTTGGCAGGTTCAGAATTCCAAAATATTTCGTTTGTACTTTCACTTTTACTATGTTTCTTCATCATACATACTTTATAGTATGCCCTCCTCACTCTTCACACACACATAAATGCTTTACCACCACAGGCACCTGCGGCAGTTCATTGTTAACATTGCTTAGAAGGTTCTTATAAGCATACTTATTGAATGAAAGTATTTTACGAAATGTATAGCACACAAACGCAGTAAACCAAAAAGCTCCAACAAATCCCACATAACGGTATATAAAGTAAGAATTATTCAGTTSCTAAAAAGTGAATAGCTGAAATTGTTTCTGGAAGGTATGGCAAGCATGCGGAGGTATTTTTTAAACACACATTTGTGYATTATTAGATAATAGAAGGTAAACGGTACACACACACACATATAGCTGCCACTAAGCAAGCAAGTGATTTAGCGGAGGAAGGAAACTTGTTTTCGCAACGATTTCCGCTTTGGCCGGCGCACACGCATTTCTTYACACACACACATTTCTATTTGTATATACAGCTACTTGGATACTTGTTAGCCAATGTACAAGTAGTTTGCCTGCAAGGCAATTTGTTATAGCCACGGCATTRGCAGCAATTTCTTTACGAAGGGAAAAATTTAGAAAAGCGCAACATACTTGARAACCTAGATAAAAACCGAACTATTTTTGAGCACCAGGAGGGACACGCAACTAAAGCAAATAAATAATGMATAACAACAACCACGACTTTGTGTACTGAACTCTTGGAATTCCTAAGCCATTGTCGAAGTGGGAGTGGAAACAAAGAAAGACGAAAAAGGAAATATTCGCTCTTAAGTTGAGGGCCCACAACTTTGGTTACCTGTGCCATGCACTGTCTCCGACATTTTGTAACGAAAACCGCACCTGCCAGTGCAGGCTGGCCACTTCATGTGTTGTCATTATGTGTGGATGTGTGCGTATGTGTGGGTATCTTGTTGCTTCAACACTTCATGTATCCGGTAGTAACTATGCGTGGCTCGTAAATGCGTTCGCGCACGTAAAGGTATGCCGGCGTTGTGAGTGTCCACAGTAATGACCCTGTAGAACAATTTGGAGCAAAAAAATGTATAAAGGGTTTCGTATACGCAATAAATTTTGTTTGATTACTTCATAGATAATCGTTTTTGCTTTTTTTAATAAAAAATTTGAAATGCTGAATTGTGCAATCAAAATAATATATAATTTAAAAAAATATTTAGTAGCAACGCCGCTCTATTTTTTTAATGTGTGTGTTAATTTCTAAGTATATCATCTAGATATAATTTCAARACGAAAAATGTGGCAACGCTTTTGCTTATTTTTCCGAATACGCCTTCATTCCTTATATAATAAACCAATTTTGTGTTAGTAGATGGCAACCTTG